AATTCTGTAACATTTACGGTAAAAAAACAGCAGCTGTGGTTGCCAGAATTTTACCCTAAAAAATATGGTAGCAACATTTTGGGTTTTACGGTTTTAACTTAAATTTACAGTTAAATACCGTAATTTCATTAACTGATATACTGTTAATATACCAACCTATTGAAGTACTGAAATCTGTTTTGTAGCTTTGTAATACACTGATAACCACCAAATGCAGGAGGTGATGAGAGTCACATGATGAACCAAAGCCCATCACAAGCAGCTAAACACCATCACGGTAACACACATGAAACTGAAATAATGCAATAAACATTCATTTAACAACATTAGGTGTAACATACAACCCTAATATACAAAACTGATATGTACAGATATATACATAACTAATAAGAAGAAACAGTTATTTCAACAAAAAAAACAATCAAATTTGAAATGTAACGCAGGGAATTCTGGGAATGTGAATTTACGGTTATTCACTGTAAATTATACAGTCTTTTTCACTTCCAAAAACGGTATACTTCCGTAACATTACATGCAATGTCCAATACAGTTTTTCACCGTATATAGTAGGGGAATTTACTGTTAACCATTTAACAGGTTCTTGCTGTAGCATTTTTACAGTCTTTTATCGTTAAATTCAGTCATTTTTTACAGTGTGCAGAATCTCGGATTATGTCAAAACATACTAAAACTACAGCCAAACACAGTCTAGATTCCTCTAATGTTGACACTGCTAAGCTATAGACGATTGTTCATTAAGCCTAAAAACATTTTGGGAACTGCAGTCTAAAAGACTCGACCTTTGCTCAACAGGTCAGACGATTAACCTCAAACTGGAATTTTGCAGCAAAAGGGTTTCAATGCATCCGTCAGCGTTTAAGAGGCATCAGCATTCCCTGAGCTTTCTTCAAACATAGGCATGCAAACATCAAGGATCTTCCCAACATCTGTTCACCCCTGCAAGGTAGTTTTATTGGGAAAGTCCACTCTGGTAGAGCAGAAAGTGAAAAACAGGAAGACAGCGGAATGCAAACCATCATGACGGTTAAGAACAACACGGGGTCACGACAAACACACAAAGCACAACATGTGATCTAAAGACAAACGCGCATCAGTCTCTGATATGCCAATAATGAAAGGATTGTTTCATAAAGGTGATAGATGTCGTCTTGGCTTGCTCTTCCAGCCGGAGGGCATTTCTTTAGCATGCACTGAGCCAAAGAGCAGCTCGGGCTGCAGAGACCACAGCGCTGAACACACGCCGTACACTCAGGGTAGATTATTAGATTTGAAGCACACAAAATGTATCTAACCAAATAAACCATCGGTTATCCTCAGGTGACCCTCGGTCAGCAAAAGCACAGGAAATGATAAAAGGTTGCCTGAATCTCACAAAAACAGTTCTAAAATGTCATATTTCGAAACCCAAATCAAAAGAAAAAGCAAGTTATTGCACTGTGACACATTCTAACAACCCCCAGACTCACCATTTTCTCAGAAGAAGTGCTGTGATTTAGTCTCGGCTATAGCTCTCCTCACCGCGTCTCTCAACTCAGTGACGGCTCACGAGACACACAATCTGCAAGAAAACAGATCAGAAATCAGCCAATGTCAAAATGTAGTGATGACAACTGCTCACTAAACTTAAACCATTCAACACATAAGCATCAGTGAGGTCAGATGGGGAACAAATTCAATGTCAAGTCTATTAAAAATTTAAATCTTTTGTAACAATATTTAAGTCTTTACCCTCCCTTTTTTTATCAATTTAACACATCCTTGCTGAATAAGAGCATTCATTTCTTTCAAACTAAAAAAATACTGACCTCAAATCTTTTATGCATAAAAGAATCCTGAACGAAGTATCAAAAACTGTTTCAACATTGATAATAAATCAGCATATTAGATTGATTTCTGAAAGATCATGTGACACTGAAGACTCGGGTAATGACGCTGAAAATCCAGCTTTGCATCACAAAAATAAATTATATTTTAAAGTATATTAAAACAGAAAAGCATCATTTTAAACTGTAAAATATCTCACACAATTACAGTTTTTTTCCTGTATTTTTTGCTCAAATAAATGCATCCTTAATGAGCAGAAAAGACTTCTTAAAAAATAAAATAAAATCTTACCGATCCCAAACTTTTGAACAGTGTTGTTTGTAAGTGTGTATGCATGTATGTATATGTACACACACATTTTGCAGCAGGATGACAAAATACATGTAAAAAAGGCAGCAAAATATGCTACTTGAAAAAAAAAAAAAAAACCTGCTTTTGTGATGCCTCCCTAAAAATGTGTCCAATTGGTGACCACAAAAAAAAATTATGCTGGGCTTTCTGAAGACCCGTCCAGTCAGCCAAAAAGTTGACCTCAAAAATATGTAGCTTTGCACATCCCCTAGTGTTATGTGCACGTATCTTATTTCTGTTATTGCTCATGCAAGCAGCAAGGACACACATCAGTCATTTAACAACATTAGGTGTAACATACAACCCTAATATACAAAACTGATATGTACAGATATATACATAACTAATAAGAAGAAACAGTTATTTCAACAAAAAAAACAATCAAATTTGAAATGTAACGCAGGGAATTCTGGGAATGTGAATTTACGGTTATTCACTGTAAATTATACAGTCTTTTTCACTTCCAAAAACGGTATACTTCCGTAACATTACATGCAATGTCCAATACAGTTTTTCACCGTATATAGTAGGGGAATTTACTGTTAACCATTTAACAGGTTCTTGCTGTAGCATTTTTACAGTCTTTTATCGTTAAATTCAGTCATTTTTTACAGTGTGCAGAATCTCGGATTATGTCAAAACATACTAAAACTACAGCCAAACACAGTCTAGATTCCTCTAATGCTGACACTGCTAAGCTATAGACGATTGTTCATTAAGCCTAAACATTTTGGGAACTGCAGTAGAAAGTCAGTCTAAAAGACTCGACCTTTGCTCAACAGGTCAGACGATTAACCTCAAACTGGAATTTTGCAGCAAAAGGGTTTCAATGCATCCGTCAGCGTTTAAGAGGCATCAGCATTCCCTGAGCTTTCTTCAAACATAGGCATGCAAACATCAAGGATCTTCCCAACATCTGTTCACCCCTGCAAGGTAGTTTTATTGGGAAAGTCCACTCTGGAAGAGCAGAAAGTGAAAAACAGGAAGACAGCGGAATGCAAACCATCATGACGGTTAAGAACAACACGGGGTCACGACAAACACACAAAGCACAACATGTGATCTAAAGACAAACGCGCATCAGTCTCTGATATGCCAATAATGAAAGGATTGTTTCATAAAGGTGATAGATGTCGTCTTGGCTTGCTCTTCCAGCCGGAGGGCATTTCTTTAGCATGCACTGAGCCAAAGAGCAGCTCGGGCTGCATTTTTTTTTTCAGTACATGATGCCACGACTATGAATTTAAGACTTTCTGCTTCTCTGCTTAAGGCCTTCATTTGTAAATAGGAGACTTTTTAAGACCTGCACTGTAAAAAAATTCTGTAACATTTACGGTAAAAAAACAGCAGCTGTGGTTGCCAGAATTTTACCCTAAAAAATATGGTAGCAACATTTTGGGTTTTACGGTTTTAACTTAAATTTACAGTTAAATACCGTAATTTCATTAACTGATATACTGTTAATATACCAACCTATTGAAGTACTGAAATCTGTTTTGTAGCTTTGTAATACACTGATAACCACCAAATGCAGGAGGTGATGAGAGTCACATGATGAACCAAAGCCCATCACAAGCAGCTAAACACCATCACGGTAACACACATGAAACTGAAATAATGCAATAAACATTCATTTAACAACATTAGGTGTAACATACAACCCTAATATACAAAACTGATATGTACAGATATATACATAACTAATAAGAAGAAACAGTTATTTCAACAAAAAAAACAATCAAATTTGAAATGTAACGCAGGGAATTCTGGGAATGTGAATTTACGGTTATTCACTGTAAATTATACAGTCTTTTTCACTTCCAAAAACGGTATACTTCCGTAACATTACATGCAATGTCCAATACAGTTTTTCACCGTATATAGTAGGGGAATTTACTGTTAACCATTTAACAGGTTCTTGCTGTAGCATTTTTACAGTCTTTTATCGTTAAATTCAGTCATTTTTTACAGTGTGCAGAATCTCGGATTATGTCAAAACATACTAAAACTACAGCCAAACACAGTCTAGATTCCTCTAATGTTGACACTGCTAAGCTATAGACGATTGTTCATTAAGCCTAAAAACATTTTGGGAACTGCAGTCTAAAAGACTCAACCTTTGCTCAACAGGTCAGACGATTAACCTCAAACTGGAATTTTGCAGCAAAAGGGTTTCAATGCATCCGTCAGCGTTTAAGAGGCATCAGCATTCCCTGAGCTTTCTTCAAACATAGGCATGCAAACATCAAGGATCTTCCCAACATCTGTTCACCCCTGCAAGGTAGTTTTATTGGGAAAGTCCACTCTGGAAGAGCAGAAAGTGAAAAACAGGAAGACAGCGGAATGCAAACCATCATGACGGTTAAGAACAACACGGGGTCACGACAAACACACAAAGCACAACATGTGATCTAAAGACAAACGCGCATCAGTCTCTGATATGCCAATAATGAAAGGATTGTTTCATAAAGGTGATAGATGTCGTCTTGGCTTGCTCTTCCAGCCGGAGGGCATTTCTTTAGCATGCACTGAGCCAAAGAGCAGCTCGGGCTGCAGAGACCACAGCGCTGAACACACGCCGTACACTCAGGGTAGATTATTAGATTTGAAGCACACAAAATGTATCTAACCAAATAAACCATCGGTTATCCTCAGGTGACCCTCGGTCAGCAAAAGCACAGGAAATGATAAAAGGTTGCCTGAATCTCACAAAAACAGTTCTAAAATGTCATATTTCGAAACCCAAATCAAAAGAAAAAGCAAGTTATTGCACTGTGACACATTCTAACAACCCCCAGACTCACCATTTTCTCAGAAGAAGTGCTGTGATTTAGTCTCGGCTATAGCTCTCCTCACCGCGTCTCTCAACTCAGTGACGGCTCACGAGACACACAATCTGCAAGAAAACAGATCAGAAATCAGCCAATGTCAAAATGTAGTGATGACAACTGCTCACTAAACTTAAACCATTCAACACATAAGCATCAGTGAGGTCAGATGGGGAACAAATTCAATGTCAAGTCTATTAAAAATTTAAATCTTTTGTAACAATATTTAAGTCTTTACCCTCCCTTTTTTTATCAATTTAACACATCCTTGCTGAATAAGAGCATTCATTTCTTTCAAACTAAAAAAATACTGACCTCAAATCTTTTATGCATAAAAGAATCCTGAACGAAGTATCAAAAACTGTTTCAACATTGATAATAAATCAGCATATTAGATTGATTTCTGAAAGATCATGTGACACTGAAGACTCGGGTAATGACGCTGAAAATCCAGCTTTGCATCACAAAAATAAATTATATTTTAAAGTATATTAAAACAGAAAAGCATCATTTTAAACTGTAAAATATCTCACACAATTACAGTTTTTTTCCTGTATTTTTTGCTCAAATAAATGCATCCTTAATGAGCAGAAAAGACTTCTTAAAAAATACAAGAAAACAGATCAGAAATCAGCCAATGTCAAAATGTAGTGATGACAACTGCTCACTAAACTTAAACCATTCAACACATAAGCATCAGTGAGGTCAGATGGGGAACAAATTCAATGTCAAGTCTATTAAAAATTTAAATCTTTTGTAACAATATTTAAGTCTTTACCCTCCCTTTTTTTATCAATTTAACACATCCTTGCTGAATATGAGCATTCATTTCTTTCAAACTAAAAAAATACTGACCTCAAACCTTTTATGCATAAAAGAATCCTGAACGAAGTATCAAAAACTGTTTCAACATTGATAATAAATCAGCATATTAGATTGATTTCTGAAAGATCATGTGACACTGAAGACTCGGGTAATGACGCTGAAAATCCAGCTTTGCATCACAAAAATAAATTATATTTTAAAGTATATTAAAACAGAAAAGCATCATTTTAAACTGTAAAATATCTCACACAATTACAGTTTTTTTCCTGTATTTTTTGCTCAAATAAATGCATCCTTAATGAGCAGAAAAGACTTCTTAAAAAATAAAAAAATAAAATAAAATCTTACCGATCCCAAACTTTTGAACAGTGTTGTTTGTAAGTGTGTATGCATGTATGTATATGTACACACACATTTTGCAGCAGGATGACAAAATACATGTAAAAAAGGCAGCAAAATATGCTACTTGAAAAAAAAAATAAAAACCTGCTTTTGTGATGCCTCCCTAAAAATGTGTCCAATTGGTGACCACAAAAAAAAATTATGCTGGGCTTTCTGAAGACCCGTCCAGTCAGCCAAAAAGTTGACCTCAAAAATATGTAGCTTTGCACATCCCCTAGTGTTATGTGCACGTATCTTATTTCTGTTATTGCTCATGCAAGCAGCAAGGACACACATCAGTGTTGTACAGTAAGTGATATTAGTGTTCAGTTCTGCTCAGATCAACTCTTTCTCTGGAATGTTCAGCATTTGTGTTTTTCCTGCTCAGAGTCCAAATACTTGCAAAATTTGATAGTAAAATGTTGAGTCTAAGACATAGTTGAGCAAACAGTTCCGAACATGCACAGGTTATCAGTGCAGTCTGTCACTGTCATGTGCTCTAAACACACACACACACACACACACACACAGGCAGTTTAATGAGCCCGTGTAAAGCACTGTTTGTATGTGCTCATGAACACACCCATGGAGTTCCTCCTCACCCCGCGCTGCTCTCACCTGCCGAGAAGACCTTGATTTCCGGCTACAAGCTGACTAATAGGATGAATTTTTGATTTACAGGAAAAGGAAACGCCACAGGATCCAAGAGCTCATGGGAAACACACAGATCACCAACCATGTGTGCACACACTTGTTGACTGGGTTTCCTAACAAAACGTCCACTAAAAAAAAGTTCCAATGAAAGTTTTGTAAACAAATTCAAACAAAGGCACAGTTCATATGTGTGTATATATATATATATATATATATATAAATTGTACTGTATATATAAAATGAAAATTATATATTTATATACAAATACACATTTACTAGAGATGCACACATGTATATAAATATGATAATTTAAATGTATGTATTTTTATTTTATCTATTATATTTTTCAGCAATGTATGTATGTGTATATGCACACTACTACATACATGTTCACATACGTACATGTATATCAATATGTAAATTGTCTTTAAATATACAGTATGGTGGATTTTAATGCAGAACGACGTAATACATGTAAACATACAGTAATATAAACTATTTGAAAATTAAATGGCTGGGCAAGAAAAAAAACCTTATTGTTGAGCTTGAGATCAATTAAAAGTCCTTTCTTATACACACTCAGAAAAAAGGTACCGCAGATGTCACTTTTGTACCGTTTCAAAAGGGTCTAATCTGTACCAATTGGTTACTATGTACTTTTAAAGTACTAATATGCACTCTTAAGGGGTAAATAAGGTACAAAAGTGTACCTTTCGAAAAAGGCAGCTGACAGCTTTTCTTTTCTGAGAGTTTCGCTTCAAACACGACAGCTCTACCTGAATGCAAGAGGACAGCCTTTACCCACAATGCAAGGCTTCTGCAGACTCACTCAGCACAAACTCTCACGAGACACGTCAAAGATATCAGAAATACCTCTCATACTCCATCGTATGGCATTTAAAAAGAGACGAGACGCTGTTTCACTCGCGTCTGAAGCCACACTGTAACAGCTGCCGAACGTTCTAAACTTCCGAAAGCGCTACAAATGTAACGAGCGCTACGTTCCACTCGCGCGCAGCAGCGTGTCAGTGAATGAAACGCTCATGTATATGAGGTGCGATAACTGAACACACACTCTATACTCATTCTTAAAGAAGTTGAGCTCTTACCTGAGCGTGGACACAAACTCCTGCGCGCTTCACGCCACGACCACACCTATCCACGCTCACACACAAACCGCGCGAAGTGGGAGGAGCCTCGGGGCGTGTTGTACGTGAGCACGCTGTTCTTGTGCGTGTCTCAGAGGCATAGCACGCGCGTCTCCATCGCATCGCTCTGGGTTCTAAACAAACTTTCAACGCATGTGCGTCCACGAGCATCTGTATCAGTAGAGCACATAGCAATGAAACGCTCGCTGTGTTTTGTTCGCATGTAACGCCCCCAAACGCGATACATTTCACAATCACAATAGAGTCTGCAGACCCCTCCTGAGACCCTGCTGCTGTCCGTGTTTACACTGCACTGTCTGGAATGACCTGGAAAAAACTGCAAGCGAAAGCCGAAGCCATTTGTTTTTCTATGTTTAGCCTCCATGAACTTTCCCCCAAGTGGGACCAGTACAGTTTCTGCAGCACTTGGAAAACTTTATTTGGTGCCAATATTTGAACACAGAGAACAATACGTTTATAAGACTGATTCTTTTGGTTATTCTGAGCCTCGCATCAGGAGTAACTGTGCATCTGAACCCGAGCAGTTGCCACACACCTCCAGAACAGCAAAGCCTTAGAGTAAATGAAGAGATCTGCATTCCCACAGCCGCACCCGCACAGGTCCAAACACGCCAGTCCTTATCTGACTTCACACAACACACACTGTGTCTGAACTATTCTAGATGCACTTCAGAAATCACTCAACAACTCTAATGATATATTGGTAGATAGAAATGTGACGTAATACCCCGAAATATAAATCCACAAAACCCTAATGCCCAAAATTTAGGCTGCTATTACATTTGAATGCATAGAAAGCCCTTTATATTGTGTAAGAAAAATATGAAATGCAATACAAAGATGTGGCCAAAGTTGCTGTGACTTATTTACAATGCAACTAAATATACATAACACTCAATCAGACTCGATTTTTGACACTTTGTAGTAAAAAAATCTGGGGACCTCTGTTATAAAAACAACATGTTGCTTCCAGAATTCATTTCATTTTTTATTGTACTATTGCTACACACTTAAAAATAAAGGTTCTTTATTGACATCAATGGTTCCGCAAAGAACCTTTAACTACCATGGAACCTTTTCATTCCACAAAAGGTTCTTTACGGTAGGCTTGCCGCGAGATGTTGACGGTTATTAAGCCGCAACACCGGTTACATCACTTGCCCACCGCGGCACCGACCCCCACCGTCGTTTTGATTTTTTTATAGTAATAAAAATCATTTAGTTCAGTAAAAGAACAGACACTACAATTAAAAACTGAACGCGGCTGCTCAATGTAGCGTGCCGTACACAGTCGCATCACAGACTTGCAAAATCCTCCATGAGAAAAACACTAGATACAATCTAGAATCTGTTTCCAGGTCAAAGCGAAGGGGACGGCGAACTCTAACTCAGGTCGACCCGTCCATGACCTCGCTGACCTCTAAAACACTCATCAAGCTGAATCTCAACTCAAAACACATACAAACACTGTCGTCATCAACGGAGCAAATTCAATACACTGAAATCATCTGTCTGGGACAATTGGATTTGGTGAGCCTGTGTTTAGCATAGATGACAATCTGATCTCATTTATTTCCCTTCAGATGAAAACTGCATCTGTGCTGATCTTATGAGCACAAATTGGTGAGAGGGAATTAATAAGCACAGCACGGCCAATATAAATACATTAAAAACTATGATATTAATGATAAATCAGATCTTTTCAATTTGTTGAGGAGAGATGCGCTACCAACTGCACATTGGATTTTCTCCTGGCAGAGAATGAAATAAGTGAAAAGATGCATGGCATCAGAATATACTAGGATTTGTTCACAAGATCTGATTTTTTTTTAGACAGACATGTGGCGGGGTCTGATTTAACTGTTCAGAATTCATGTTTTTTTCTTTTATCAGACAAAATAAAAATAAAATAAAATTACTTTAAATAATAATACATTTTAGTTTAAGATTTTGTAACAATTAAAGGATTAATTAATCATATGACGTTGCCTAAAAGAACATTATTTGATGTATTTGGTGTAATGAAATGTGTTTATGCGGTTTAAGGTTAAAAAAACACATTATTTTCCACATACTGTACATTGTTTCTCCTCTATGCCCAGCCTTTCTGAAACGCGTCGATTTTTACAAAACTCATCGTTCTGAAAAGCGAGGTGTGCTGTGATTGGCCAGCTATCCAGTGCGTTGTGATTGGCCGAATACCTCAAGCATGACGGAAATTTTACGCCCCTCACCATACTGTGATGCTGTGTCCCGGCTGGAGCGACGAGACAAAAACAATAAAACCCATTACAAAAGAGGCATTTGTTGCATCCAGTAGGGACATAATTACGGATTATAATAACTTATACTGTCTTTTTACGCGCTGCGTTGCGTATCGTGCCACATAAACATAAAACCATGCTGTGATCGGAGAAACGACAAACAAGCACTACTCTGCACTGCTCAAAACTTGTGTTTGAATCGTCAGTGGCTAGATTCAGAGCGGTGCAGGAGTAGTCATGAGGCTATTTAAAGAGCCGTCTGACCTGTAACATGAGCATGAGCCATCAATTAGACATTTCACCTAAAGTGCTGAGACGGATCGCTGAGCTTCCCAGGCTGAGGAATGAGAACGGGATCCGGGGGGTTTGAACAGGAGCCAATCACTGGTGCTCACCGGTAGAACTCGCAAAATTATAATCAAACAGAACCGGAGCGACTATTCTATATGAAAACGCTTTTGCAAACTGCGTTCCATTAGCTGCAGGCCACAAACTGTCTGTTTCATGTGTAACTGAAGAAGTACAAATAAATCCACCGGTAAGGCACAGCAAACACAAGGATTTACACTGAAAGCATTCAGCAGACACCATTAACCGGAGTGTTTACCAAAAAAAAGTGCTTAAATGTCACATACGAGACTGTTGTGATTAACAGATGTCAAGCAAGCACTTTAGTATGACATCTGCTAGAAACATCAATGAATTCAACAAATTCACTCTCTTATATCTAGTACAAATAATTATATTACAGATATATAACAAAGCTTGAAGTCACACCTTTGATTAAAATGAAATTATAAAATGGCAATATTTACCATGCATGTATTTCTAGCACATTTTTTACCTTTTTTTTTTTTTTACAATAATTAAACCATTTTAACCAGATAACAAACCAAGTCAGTGGCTAGACTTGTAAAAAGTACAAATAATAATAATAATAATAATAATAAATAAACAAAATATATAACAATATAATATAAGATATATATTATAATAATACAATATTTTGAATATATATTCAAAAAATATTAATAACAACAAGAATAGTCCTTGCAAGAAGTGTTATAAATTTAATTTAATTGTAAATAATGCATAAATGCTATGTGATATCAATATTTTTACTATGCATGCATGGCATATGTTTTTTCTTTACTACAGAAAAGTCCTATAGGCATCTTACATAACACCAGCAATTCAGATGTGTGAGGAATATCGAAAACAAAACTAACTTAACCCAGCGTACAAAGCCACATACAACATTCAGAAAGATCAAGGCACTTTATTACACAACGCCTGTGAATTCATTTCAAAAGTGCATGTGTGTGTGTACTGAAATACTCATACTGTCCAAATGTGACTTTCCAGCAGTTCACCCCAGTCGGTGGTCTGTCTCTGTGTGTGTGTGTGTCTGTCTGTGTGTGTGTGTGTGTGTCTGTCTGTCTGTGAGTTTGTCTGTCTGTGTGTGTGTGTGCGCGCGCGCGTGTGTGAGAGAGTGTGTGTGTGAGAGTGTGAGAGTGTGTGTGTGTGTTTAGTATGGGTGGAGGATTTTACAGCCTGTAAAACATCCCAGCTGGTCAATACAACCACATACAAACACATGCTCGGCAGAAACCAGACAAAACCCACGCTAAATCATGCGTATTTTGTTTATACAACAATCCACCTAACTTAACTGCAAACACATTAAAGAATAATCAAGTTAAATAAACAGAAAATGAAATATGATCAAGATACTCACTGTGAAAGAATCAGCTGACACAACGAACGGTGACTCAGTAGAGCGCCCTACTTCCGCATTCACTGGCGATGACCTATGCGCCAGCCAATCACGATAGAGCGTGTTCCTAGCGTTGACCAATGGCGAGGCGGAATCCGCCGCGTACTAGACGTCCAACAGCCAATGGAGAGCTACGGTGGCTCAAACAACAGGACGCCTGAATGCCCGAGAGCACACCCACATGCGACCCAATCAGGGCGAGGCTGCGGCGGAGAGGGAGGGGGAGGTTTGAGCCAATAGAAAATCACAGCGCGGCACAGGGACCACGTGGTTCACGGCGAGTCGTGCAAGGCTTGCTTTTAAAGAGACGGCGCGCGCGTTATGTGAAACAAAAAGTTTAAAACAAGAATGAAATTGTAGAAAATGTTTGAGAAATAGAAAATGTTTAAGTAGTTCTAAATATCATATATTTTACATAGGTGAAGTCAAGAATAAAACTAAATATGACACAATCATGGTACTGATTACTATATGTGACCCTGGAGCACAAAACCAGTCTTAAGTGTCAATTTTTCAAAACTGAGATGTATACATCATCTGAAAGCTGAATAAATCATCTTTCCATTGATGTATGGTTTGTTAGGATAGGATAAGATTTGGCTGAGATACAAATATTTGAAAATCTGGAATCTGAGGGTGCAAAAAAATCTAAATATTGAGAAAATCATCTTTAAAGTTGTTCAAATGAAGTTCTTAGCAATGCATATTACTAATCAAACATTCAGTTTCGATATATTTACGGTAGGAGATTTACTAAATATCTTCATGGAACATGATCTTTACTTAATATCCTAATGATTTTTGGCATAAAAGAAAGATGTATCATTTTGACCCATACAATGTATTGTTGGCTATTGCTACAAATATCCCCCAGCGACTTATATACACAACTTACACTATTTCAAAGAATACCATGGTAAAGGACCCCAAAATATAATTTTACTCAGGTATCAAGTCTAATAAACAATGATGACAATATGTATTTATGCACAAGAGCATAAATGATTAATCAGACTCTTCAGCTGAGTGTGTTTAGATCTGAAGTGCTCAGTTTGTCCACCTGAAGGGTCTGATTTCATCGATCTGTGCGACTGCTCAAGAGGTTTCAAGGGTTTAACAGGTTTATGTCACACTTTCACAGCAATAGAGTAAAATATTGATTTCATTATCGAATAGAATGCCAGTGAAATTTTGAACGATGCAATACAGGACTGCAGATCATGAACACACAACAACATATTGTACATATTGTACATATTGTACATATTGTGCATATTGTATATTGAATGTTGCATTGTTTTATGTAAAAAATCAAAAGTTGAGAAAACTTAAAAGTTTAAGGCAACCAGCTTCAGCAGATTTGTGACCCTGGACCACAAAACCAGTCATAATGGTCAGTGTTTGGAAATGGTGTATAAGCTGAATAAATCAGCTTTCCATTGATGTAAGGTTTGTTAGGATCGGACAATATTTGGCTGAGATACAACTATTTGAAAATCTGGAATCTGAGGGTGCAAAAAAATCTAAATATTGAGAAAATCATCTTTAAAGTTGTCCAAATGAAGTTCTTAGCAATGCATATTACTAATCAAACATTCAGTTTTGATATATTTACGTTAGGAAATTTACTAAATATCTTCATGGAACATGATTTTTACTTAATATCCTAATGATTTTTGTCATAAAAGAAAAATCTATAATTTTGACACATACAATGTATTGTTGGCTATTGCTACAAATATCCCCCAGCGACTTATTAATTTATAGGTATTAATTTTCTCAACTTCTTGTTTTCAGTTTATACAAAAACAAGCTGAGAAAACTCAAAAATCTGCTGAAGCTGGTTGCCTTAAACTTTTAAGTTTTCTCAACTTTAGATTTTTTACAGTGTATATATTATATTAGCTATTATTTAAATTCAGTGGAATTCAAATGTAATCTGCATCAGTGATGCTTATTTTAATTGCTTTGCAATGCAAGAATAATAAAACATGATGCTGTACACTTGTAGTCTGTCCTTCTGTTCTCTAGACAAGCCCAGCTGATCATTAACAGTGAGCAAACACATCAGAAGACAAGAGCTCATTGATTACCTGCCTCATTAACACAACGTTAAGACATGAAGTTCGGCTGATACGGTATCGTGCGGTTTACCTGTCCTGATCTAATCTGGCTCACACGTCTTTATAGCTGTGCACGTAGAGCTTGGGCTATTTCTGCACTGGCTTTCGTCTTTAATCACAGATTGGCCGTCTGACATCAGCACTCAGCAGTCAGCGATGGTACACCTGCCCCGTCCAGCAGCCAATGCTCCAAAAGTCTTTACATACTTTATATTTTATATTCAGATGATCTTCATGTTCATCGGCACTGCAAAAAATGATGTTACTCAGAACTTTTGTCTTGTTTTCCAGTACAAACCATTTTTAAAATCAAGAGATATTTAATGAGATGCATAAGAGATTAAGTCTTGCTTGCTGAAATATTAAAAATGATGTGGGTTTTTGCTTACAACATTAAAAAAAAAAGGTCAGAAATATCTTGCTTTCCCTTTTTTTCTGACCCCATTAGCAGATGTTTGTTCTTGTTTTAAGCGTAACTTCACTTCATTTTGATAGACTTTTCAGAAAACAAGACATATATTAAGTCACTTTGCATCTCAAGTAAATGTATCTTGATTTAAGGATGTTTAGATATGTTTACTTGAAAACAAGACACAAATATTGAGGCAGAAAATCATTTTCTGCAAAATATACAGAATATACAAAACATACAGAAAATATTCAGAATAATATATTGCTTATACGATATAAGGAATTGCAAAAAATATATGACAATATAATTACTTATAAATCGTAATGCATGTAATTTTATATTCAACAATACACTTCATAATAAATAATTGTACATAAAAGTGATAAAATATGTGCAATATATAAATTACGCACAATTATGAGGAAAATATTGTGATATATATATATATATATATGGCTTTACCAAGACATCAAATTGTCCAAAACCCCTCAAATTTTAATATAACGTTTTAAGTATATACCACCACACGTATTTTCACATATGAAATGCATAACTATGCAAACAATAAATTCATATAAAAGTTTATGATTATAAATTCAGATTTATGTAAACCCAACTCATGAAAGTGAAATGAATTAATTGAGTGGTTTAATAAAGCTATATTATGTAAAAATGTAATGCAGTTTTTGTCTTCATTGATATCATAGATGGTCCATGCATATATTGCAGTATGTTGAAAAATATAAGCCTAGTTTCCCCCCCCCAAAAAAGGAAAAGGAAACGTATAATATATTGCATTATATTTGCCAATATATTCCCATACATTTAGTTTTGTTGAGCTTTTAGATCAAGATGTTTTTAATTAAGAAACATAGTTTCATTGAAGCGTAACTTGAATGTAGTGCAGAAGGCTGGCTGTTGATTGACAGATGGTAGCCCCGCCCACAGCTACTTAAATATATCTGGGCTTGTTATCAGTCATATGGCTTCTCACCTGTTTTTCAAGCATTAGTCGTCATGACGAAATGATGGTGAACTGGGACAAAGGCAGTTCAGTCTTTCAGTGTCCTTACAGACGAGGTCAAAACACAGAGACTTCCCATTCAGACAGTCTTCAATAAAGCAAAACTGTCAAAACAGCAAATGTTTGGCAATATTCTAGATAACAGTTCTGTTAGATGAGCTCAGGTTTCTTCATTTGCTTCATGTTATTTGAAATATCATATTACTGTCCAGTCAGATGATCATTTCTGAAGAACATGCTTTCCTAATTCGAGAAGCCTGCTTGCATGGGTTTTTGATGAAACTGCAGAGGGATTCAGTGTAAATCTCTTCTGTGTATTAAAACGGCAATGACAAAAAACATATTTTCATGTCAGAAACATGCAATGTCTGGTTAAGAGTTTCTAGAAGCTTCATCATGGTGAAATATGTAATGACATAGTGACTCCCTCTAGCGTACAAGTCAAAGTACTGCACAATCCCATAATAAATGTACATTTATTCTATATATACTGTATGTCAGAGGTGTAAAGAGTACCTAAAAACCATACTTGAGTAAAAGTACAGATACCTTACAGTGAAAATTACTCCACTACATGTTACAAGTCACCAATTCCAAAACAACTTGAGTAAAAGTCTTAGAGTATCTGAATTTAACAGTACTTAAGTATTTTACTTATACTAAATACAGGCTCAAAAAATGCACTAGTCAAAGAAACACGCCAATCAAAAACTGTAACGTTGTGGAGAAGCTGTTGAAAACAGGCAGAGGCAAAGATCTATGTGCAGGTATTTAATGGAAAAACTAGAACAAACAATAAGGCAAAAACCAAAGGGAACAAAGAACAGAATGACTGGCAAACAGACAACCATTAGGCCTTCATTCAACAACTCAAAAGGAACTAAAGACAAACTAGGGCTATATATACACACAGGGGGCTAACAAGCTGAACAAGGTAAGACACACCTGAGGAGACTAATCAAGGGGAACCAATGAACAAACTGACTACAAACACCACGGGAGACAGGAAGTGACATAAAAGTCCAGGGCAAGGCACAGAGAGCATGAAACAAAAACAAGAAAGAGTTGATT